TCAGCCATACAAGTGACTGCTTTTACGTGTTTATAGCTTATTTTGAAGAGAAAGCAGAGTTAATTGAAGGTAATTGGGCTTGAAACGTCAATTCTGCTTTCTCTCCACACATGCTGCCGGTTCTGCTGATTTTTTTCCCCAGCAATTCCTGTTTCTGCACCAACGCGTATCCTCAGCCATACAAGTGACTGCTTTTACGTGTTTATAGCTTATTTTGAAGAGAAAGCAGAGTTAATTGAAGGTAATTGGGCTTGAAACGTCAATTCTGCTTTCTCTCCGCAGATAATGTCAGAGGTGCTGGGGTTTTTTTTTTTCCGAGCAATACTTGTATTCCTTTCTAATTACCAGCATCCGCAGTTGTGTTTTTGTTTTGGTTATGCGTCGGTGCGGCAGGTCGAAGTTTCACCCGGGACACGAGCTGGGGTTTGAGAGGGGGGAGAAGGAGGAGCCGGAAGTCCCGTGACGTTTGGTGACGCCGTTGTGAAAGTGGTCTATCGGGCGTCTTGGTGACGTCATCAGGAGGCGGCGACCTAGGGTCCGCGCATGCGCGGGCTCACTTCCAGCTTCCCTTTGAGTGACAAAAGGGAGAGATTGTACCTATTCAGGAAAAACAAAGGTGGGAGTAACCTTTTGCAGATTTTTCTTTTATGTGCTGCTGATTAGTGGACTGTTACCACTCATGGGACTTGATGGTGGACAAACAGGGTTTTTTGAGACCTTAAAAGAACAAAGCGAAGTGTTTAGAACAGCGAGACCTAGGGGTTCAGGTACATAATTCTTTAAAGTTTGCAACACGTGCAGACAGGCTGGTTGAGAAGGTATTTAGCACGCTTACCTTCATTGTTCAGGCCTTCCAAGTATGGGAGTTGGGACGTCTTGTTGAGGTTGTACAGGACATTGGTGAGGCCTCTTCTGGAGCACTGTGTCCCGTTCACCCCGTTATAGGGAGGATATTATTAAACTGGAGAGGGTTCAGAAAAGATTTACCAGGATGTTGCCGGCAATGGAGGGTTCCAGTTATAAGGAGAGTGCTGGGACTCTTTTACTCACTGGAGTGTAGGATGTTGTGAGGGGACCTTTTATAGAGGTTTATAAAATCAGAAGGGGCACAGATAAGGTGAATGGCGGGTGACTTTTCTCTAGGGTGTGGGATTTCAAGACTCTGGGGCATATTTTTAAGGTAAGAGGAGAAAAGATTTTAAAAAGGCATGAGTATTTTTTTACACAGGATGGTTTGTGTGTGAAATGAACTTGCAGAGGAAGTGGTACAGTTACAACGATTAAAAATCCACGAGCAGGCAGGTTGGACTAGTTCAGTTTGGGGTTATGGTCAACATGGACTGGTTGGACCAAAGGGCTTGCTTCCACGCTGTATAAATCTATGAAAATAAAGTCATGTGTTTGCAATGGTACCTTTCACCAGACATCTCAGGTGTCCCAGAGTGCTCACAGTTGTTTCAGCATAGGGAACATGACAGCCAATTTGCACCCAGCGAGCTTCCACAAAGGCCTCATGGTAATCCCTGGGACTGATTGTTTTTCTCTTGTTTTTTTTTGGTGTTGATTTGATTGAGGGTTACACACATATGTGTGTGCGCCATGACAGGTGTGTGTGTCTGTGTGAAGTTGGCATGCTGCTCACTTTTGAGTGCCAGTTTACTTCTTGTTTTCGGCCTCAACAAGATTGGGGAGGGAACCAAAAGTCTCTCACTGTCAGGATGTAGCCCCTCCATTGATAACTCCTCAGCTGTGCAAATTGAAACCAGGTTCCTCACTGCCCCAGGCTAATGCTTCAGAGGAATCCGGAGGAGGTTGACTCATGAAGATGTGGTGCACAAGCTCACTAGCGTGATGTGCGCTCGCTTTTGCAAACTAAACTCCCAGCCATGGGAAATTCCTGTGCCATGTAGATACCTCACCAAGGCCGAAGACAAAGTGAGTAAACCTGATGAAAGTTCTGGAGTGGAACCCAACAGAGGACTAGCGTCTAAATCTATCATCTTTCCAGCAACTACTACAACCAAGCTTATGCAAGCCTTTGGTGCTTTCCATTCCTTTGGACTCGGTCAAGAAGGTAGAGAGGAGATCCTGACATTTAGGCAGATTAGGATCTCCATGGAGTTTGATCAGCCCTGCACACTCCAGATTTTCTGCAGAGTGTAAATCCTTGACAGGGGGGCAGTGATAAACTCACTCCATTAGTGTGTGAATAGATACAGCAGACTGACGTTGGTTGGAAGGATCACTGACCAATCATTGCCCAGGTCAGCCAGGCCCTCCCTCCCGATGAGTAAGATGCAGACCTGCCAAATCCTGTGTCTTCTCAGCCCACTGTCCTCCTCTGCAGGAAAACATGGCAGACACAGCTGTGCCAGAGCCACGCCAGGGGATGTTCAATGCCAAGTAGACCATCAGGGTGCCAACCATCATTTGAGGAGATAGAAAGCTGTCAACATGTGTTGGCCTGGCATTCTGGAAGGGCAATCCCAACACTCCCTCACCCCTCCTGAGCAAAATAATAGCTGGGAGATCACCCAAGGGAGCAGGCGGGTTGTTGGTTTAACATCCCATCCGAAAGATGGCGTCGCTGCACTGAAGAGTCAGCTTTGCGAGTTTTGTTCTTGAGCTCAGGAGTAAGAGCTGACCCCACAACTTTCCGAATCAAAGGTGAGACGCCTAATGGCTGTGCCAGGATAGTCACCAGAGCGAGATTGTGGGCATGTTTCCTAAAACGCCAGCCCAAAAACTGCTCTACCGCGGTTGGTAAGGAACAAGATTTTGGTTCACCAATGTTGCCGGTGAGTTTGGTCCGACTGGTGAAATGTGAATATGCTGCTGGCCTTGCAAATTGGTGGAGAAAGAGAGAAGCAGAGGGAACTTTTCAAGACCAATGCCAGTCTGAGGAAAGGGTGATGTTGCCAGACAGGCTGTTGGGTTCCTCCAGCACCTTGTATTTTTCTTCTTTTATTTCAGACCGGCATCCTAGGTGCGCAGTCAGCTTCCTGGGCTGTTCATGTTGAAGGAGGTTATAGGGCCCAGAGAGAAGGGTTAGACTATGGAAGGATTACAAGAGGGGGCTCAGAGTTGTACAGCTGATGTGTTGCTGGTGCCAGTAACGATTGTGGGTCAGCAAGCTGACAAGTACTCTGCCAGCGTAAACATGATGGGCTGAATGGTCACTTTCTTGTGCTGCGATAGTACTTGCAGCTTTGTAGGTGTTTAGGTATTGGAGGTGTGTACGGCAGCATACTCCTGTGTACTGGTCCCTCGTTATAACAGGTGCTGGTGGGGACGGGTCTGTCGCTGTATTACTGTGGGAGGGGGGCGCGTGGTGCTGGTGGGGACGGGTCTGTCGCTGTATTACTGTGGGAGGGGGGCGCGTGGTGCTGGTAGGGACGGGTCTGTCGCTGTATTACTGTGGGAGGGGGGC